CATGCCTCTTGGGATTCATACCTTTGTGTAGTTTCCTCTCACATGGAATCTGGGCACTCCTATGATTTGCTTCAAACAATAGAACACAGCCATGGAGATCCTATGTCCCTTGTAGGACTCAACGCTAAGAAAGCCTGACAGCTTCTACTTTGGTGCTTTTGGAAACCCTGACCTGCCATGTAAGAAGTCTGGCTACCCTGCTAGAGAGACCAGGCAGATTAGAGGTCAGCAAGCTTTTTCTTAAAGGGCCAGATAGTATATATTCTAGGCTTTGTAGGCCATAGGATCTCCATCACAACTACTCAAATGCTGTTGTAGTATGAAAGCAGCCATAGACAATGTGTAAAGAAATGGACATGGCTGTGTCCAACTAAAACTTTGTTTACAAAATACACATCACAGGTTGTAGTTGCCTGATCCCTGATGTAGAGACCGCATAGAGCAGCCATGTGCAGAGCAAAGGGCTCTGAGACTTCATGGAGAGACGGGGAGAAGAGAGAGAGAGAGAAACCCAGTAATCCCAGAGTCTGAGCTGAGCCCAGCCTTCCAGCCAGGGCATCCAACATGGAGCAAACCATCTCAGACATTCCAGCCCACAAGAGCTCCAGATGACTGCAACCTTGGCCAATGTCTCATGGAGAAGAATCCCTGGCTGAGTCCAGTGAACACACAGAATCATGAGAAGTAACACAATGACTATTGTTTTAAGCCACTGAAGTTTAGGGTGGTTGGTTGCACAGCAATGTTGTGTAAGGCAGATGTGAAGGTTAACCCTAGGTGTCAACTTGGTTAGATGAAGGAATGCTGAGAAACCTGGTAAAGGAATCTTTTTAGGTGTGTCCGTGAGGGTGTTTTCAGCAGAGATTAGTATGAGAGTCTGAGTGGACTGAGTGGGAAAGACCCACCCTCAATGTGGCCGTGAACCATTCAGTCCACTGGGGGTCTGGAGAGAACAAAAGACAGAGGAAAGAGGTGAAGCTCTCTCTCGATCTGCGGGAGCTGGGAAACAACCTCTCTCCTATCCGTGGACATCAGAGCTCGAGACTCTTCAGCTTTTGGGTTCCAGAACTTACACCAAGGACACCATCAGCTTCCCTGATTTTGAGGCCTTCAGACTTGGACTGAGCCACACTACTGGCGTCCAGTTTATAGACGGCCTATTGGGGGATGTTTCTTCATAGTCACGTGAGCTAATTTCCCTAATAAATCCCTCTCATATAATTATAACATATCTTATTGATTCTGTCTCTCTGGAGAACCCTGACTAACACAGCAGGGTTTCTCAAATTCAGCCCTGTTGACATTTTGAGCCAGATAATTCTGTGTTGTGGAGGAGTGTCCTGTGCATTGTAAAACATTTAGCAGCATCTCTGACCATTAGGTGCCAGTAGCATCCTCCCCACCTAGTTTTGACAACCAAAAATGTCTCCAGACACTGCCAAGCGCTCCTGGGGTACAAAATCACCACTGGTTGAAAAACAGTAATGTATGGTAAAAGAGTTTGAAATTGGGGTACCAGCAGCCAACTTCTCCACTGCATGGGAGTCAAGAAAAGTTAGAAGCAGAGTGAAGGAAGGGCCTATTTGTGATTTCCATAGGGCCTGAGTACTTCTGCCTTCATCAGCCCCTTCTCCCATTAAAAAAAAGATCAAAAATTGTATTTTATGCATTGGTATAAAGATGAATACAATCCAGAATCATTATACATTATTATCATATTCATTTTTTCTTACGATTTTAAAATAAATCAAAATTAAAATAAGCTAATTAAAACAAATTAAATTTCTTAAAATTAAATATCATGGGCCCTATGCACTGCACCTTCTATGCCTAATGGATAAGTCAGCCCTGCGTGAGTACAGGGATGGGGGCAGAGGACAACATTTAAGTTCCTAGAACCAGACAGACTAAAGTTTGACTCATCCTTGGATTTCTCAGTTTCATGAGCCAATAAATTCACTCTTTGAGCTGACTGGTTAGCTCTGTTGGTTAGAGCACAGCCTCGTAACACCGAGGCCAAGGGTTCGGATCCCCACACCAGCCAGCCAAAAAAGAAAAAAAAATTCACTCTTTGAGAGAGTTTCTGTCACTTGGAACCAAGAAGCCTGATTTACTCGTCTCCCAACTATAACATGGGCAACCTGAACTTGAGCCTGAGTCTGTCTTATTCAGACCAGAGTTCTTACTCACTACCACCAATCACGAATTCATTCTGCCTCCAGCATCCTTCTAGTTTTCTCTATTGGGACAGTTTTCAAGAGAAAGTTCCCCAAACTTACATTTCCGGACAAAGTTGCTCACATGCCTAAGCTTCATCAGAGCAGGCTGACTGCATTCTTCAAAGAGAACAAAGAGGGCATCTAATATCCCTTCTCGGGAAAGAGGAGACATCTGCTGTTGAGTCATAACGGGTGGTTTCCCCTAAAAACAGCAAACAGCAGATGGAGACACTGTCAATAATAAAAAGCTTTGATCAATAACATCCACACAGTAAATTACAAGCCACCAACTCAACTAACTGCTCATGACACACAGCACAATTCTGTGTCTTCATTTTTTAAAGCAACGTCAGTTGACAGTCATTAAGTTGTCACTTGTACGATTACATCACCATTGGTTTCTTCCACTAGCACCTGGGAAGAAAAACTTCACAAGCATACCATTAATAAGAAAAGGTTCTCCATCTTAATGGTCTGAGGCTTATGAGAACATTTACTCTGGACCCTGCTAGTTCTGACATGTTTCCATGTCTCTACAATAGGAAACAATGATAACGTGTGCCCAGAGGTTTGTTAATATAATTTGAGTTTCTTTAATTCATTTGCACAATCAAGAGTAGAATGGGTGACTGTCATAAAGCTGAATTTATTCATGATCTAGAGCAACAGTTACAAACTGGCAGACTGTATCTAGCCCACAGACATGTTTTGTTTGGCCTGTAGTGTTTAAAATAATTTGAATTATCTGCCAATATTTAAAAATCAGGAGATTTCACAAAAAAAACATAAAAATGGAATGTCTGGCTTCTCTTGAAACACTGGCAGATCTAGCAGCCCTGCCCCATGCTCCTGGATGGTGATGCTGAGGTGGAGCCAAGTGAGGCGCCCCTCTTGGTAGCGAATGTTTTTGGAGTTCACTGCAGACCTGACTCCTAGTCTTCCACCTGGCCCACTTGACTCATTTATACGCACTGCCCGGCCCCCAAAAACATGAGCTGACAACCCCCAGTCTAGAGCAATGATTCCCATGTATCAGGACATGGACTGTGTGAGGTCTCTCTGCAAAGATGGCCACCAACAGTTCCTCCAACCCTGTAGGCCATCCTGCTCTTCCCTTCAAGAGCTGAGTCTATTTCTCCTCCCCTCAACTCTGTGCTGTCTCTGAAACTCACTTCAACTAACAGAATGTGACACAAGTGACGCTGTGCCGGTTCAGGGCAGAGACCTTAAGAAGCCCAGGAGCTTCTGCTTTTGCTTTTTTTTTTTTTTGTCTTTTTGTCTTTTTTCGTGACCGGCAACGGATCACAACCCTCAGTGTCGCGCCCGTACCGGACCGGGACCGGCAACGGGATTGCAACCCTCGGTGTTGCCCCCACTCCTCGCTCAGCCAGTGAGCGGCCGGTCTGTATGTGGGATCCGAACCCTCGGCGGGAGCGCCGCCGCGCTTCCCAAGCGGCGCACTGTAGCAGTGCGCCACCGGGCTGGCCCCTGCTTTTGCTTTTTTGTGAAGCCAGCCACCATGTAAAGAAGCTTGGGTTAGGCCAAGGGTCAGCAAACTACAGCCCATGGGCCAAATCTGGTCCACTGCCTGTTTTTATAAATAAAGTTTTATTGGAACACAGCCACACCCATTCATTTACATACTGTCCAGGCTGTTTTTGAACTACAATGGCAGAGTTGGGTAGTCACAAGAGAGACTACGTAGGGCCGGCCCAGTGGCACACTGGAGAGTGTGCCGCTTGGGAGCGCGGTGGCGCTCCCGCCGAGGGTTCGGATCCCATGTGGAGACCGGTTCCCGCTCACTGGCTGAGCGCAGTGCGGGCGCAACACCGAGGGTTGCCATCCCGTTGCCGGTCCCTGGTACAGGCACAACACCGAGGGTTGCTATCCCGTTACCGGTCAGTAAAAAAGACAAAAAGGAAAAAAAAAAAAAGAGAGAGACTATGTAGCCCACAAAGCCTAAAATAATTTATTATTTATAGAAAAAATTACAAGCCCTGGGATAGACTATGGAGTGATTAAAGACCACATGGAGAAGAGAGGCCATGTAGAGGAACACTGAGGTGATCCAGCCAGCAGTCAGCCCCCAGATGTTCTAGTCCCAGACATGAGCCCAGCCGAATGTAGCCCTGTGAGTGACCTGAGCTAATGTCACAGGGTGGAGCAGAAGAACCACCTAGCTGAGTCCAGCCAACCCACAGAATTCTAAGAAAAAATAAATCATTGGTGCTTTACACTCTGTGAGTGGTTTGTTATGCAGCATTGGATAACGAAACAGACTGGCTACATTTGAATCACTAGGGAACCTGAGAAATTAAACCCAAAAAAACAAACAAACAAAAAAAGCAGAACTTAATCTACTGAATTAGAATTTTCCAGACTGCAGCTTAGAATCTGTTTTATTAACTTGTTCCCCAAGAGATTCAGACTTCAGTCAGGGTTGGGAAGCACTGTGCCTCAAGGCCATCATATCTGTCACTTTAGTGATACCTATAGTTGCAACTAACTCAGAAAAATAAAATTCTTTGTTTCTTTTGTTCTTCAATGAGTTTAGACCAACTAGAGCAGGGGTTTCCAAATATAGTACTGACTCTTAACAAAGTTTTCAACAGCCTGCAGTGAAATGAGAAAAAATGAACACCACATGATATCTCTTTTATAAAGCTAAGTGTATTCAGTTTTTAAAATGATTCTTTCTGAGATGATGTTCTTCCCCCTTGGTGTTTCTTAAAATGCCCATTCTTTGTGAAATAAAGCAGCCAGAATATAATAGGTTTTTCTTTTTAGTTGTTTTTGACACCCTTACTTGGCAAAATAAAAAGTTGGCAAACCTATGTCTGCCCAGCAATTTGTGAAATTTTGCTGGCTCTGAAAGTCTGCCAACCACTGACCTAGAACATGTTGGGAAGTAGTGTTGGGTAGAAGGAAAAAAGACAAACTGAGAACTAGTCTAAAGTACCTACCTGATTTGAAAACAAAATCACTACTGTATCTAAACCTCATTAAAACAGCTCTATATGAGAAAAGAACAGTATCCTTATCTGGTCACAGGAGGCAAATGTTAGCTATATGCTACACTTGCAATAATAGCTTTCCTGAGGGCAGGAGGAAAACTCATTAAAAAGAGATGAATTGGGGGTTTACACACATCCTTGCTGTTATGGTGACATTTAAATATATGATACACTTAATAAACTCCCACATACGCTGGCAGTGTGGTTCAGCGGTCACATGGGCAGTCTATGGAGTAATACAGACGGAAGATGGAACCTGGTCCTGCCATTTATGACCTACACAATCTTGGGCAAGTCCTTGCCTATTTCTATATTTGTCTCCTCCTATTTAGAGTATAAATAAGAAGAGTCCCTACCTCTATGATGAGGCTGAAGTGAGATAATCAGAAGCATGCTGGTTCTGTGCCTGGCACATTGGAAGCCATAGCTATTACATAATTAGCACATTATAAAGCCCTTAATAAATGAGTGATTGTTTTGTAAAAAGTTTAGAAGTTTTGGAGTAAAATGAGAAAGGGGCTGGGCCGGCCCGGTGGCGCAATGGATAAGTGCGCCGCTTGGGAAGTGCGGCGGCGCTCCCGCCCGAGGGTTCGGATCCCACATACAGACCGGTTCCCGCTCACTGGCTGAGCGAGGCGCGGGAGCAGCACCGAGGGTTGCAATCCCGTTGCCGGTCCCCGGTCCGGTACGGGGGCAACACTGAGGGTTGCGATCCGTTGCCGGACACGGAAAAAGACAAAAGACAAAAAAAAAAAAAAAAAAAAAAAAAAAAAAAAATGAGAAAGGGGCTAAAAAGTGGCAGACTCCAGTCTTCTAAGGTTAGAGGCAGACTATTCATTTGTAAAAAATATGTCATGAGGGCTGGCCTGGTGGCGCACTTGGTAGAGTGCGGCGCTTGGG